TCTTGCAGGAATGATTTGTCTCCTCTGTTATAGGCCTTGCCTACCACATCCAGCCACAATCCCCTTGCCATTTTCCTCAGTGAATGAATACCACGGTTCTGGGTGACTCATGGCCCTTCGTTCCCCAACAACAATTGGTGGGTGCCCCCAGATCCCTGCCTGCACCTCTGTTTCATCTTTTGCTTTTTCTTCCCACCATATGTCATAACCCTGGGCAGGAGATCAGGACTCATGGCAGGGGTCCCTGATAACTGGCACCATGGAAGGAATCTCCAGTAATGGAAGTATCAAAATGGTGTTAGTTGTATCTCATAATGTGCTAACCAGTCCAGATGTGAAAGTATTTAAATTTTCTAGTGGATGGGGGGACTGGGACCTGAACCCAGCTCTTACTGGACCATATTTTCAGTCTATTTCTTATTTTGAAACAGGGTCTCACTAAGTCACTAAATTATCCAGGATGGGTTTAAACTTGCAATCCTTAGGCCTCAGTCTCTCAGCAGGCTGGTTACAGCAAGTGTCACTATCCCAGGTCAAGGGTATTTAAAATAAGACTCAGCCAATGACATTTGTTCATTAAATAATTCTAAAATGTTCTCTCTCTCTGTCTCTGTCTCTGACTCTCTCTCTGTTTCTCTCTCTCTCTGTCTCTCTCTGTCTCTCTCTGTCTCTCTCTGTCTCTCTCTCTCTTTCTCTGTCTGTTTCTCTCTCTCTCTCTCTCTCTCTCTCTCTCTCTCTCGCTGTGCTGGGGATTCAACTCAGGGCCACTCATATAGTAGGCAACTGCTCTACATTTAGCTCTATCTGTACCACTTCTTGTCTATTTTGAGACACAATCTCTCTGCCTGACCCAGGCTAGCCTGGAATCCTCCCGCCTCAGTCTCCCAAGTGGTGGGAAGATAGTTGTGCATCACAATATCCAGAAAAATAAATACAAGTTTTTAAAATAAAAATCTTCTGAAACTTTATCAGAGATCCATACTCCAAATATCTTGGAGGTTAACATCTAATTCATTGTGCTGTGGTCTGCACATAGGTCCATACTATGTCTCTGCATAGGATTTGAATTTTTGCTCAACGAAATTTCCAGGCATCCCACCATGATGATGTGCACAGACTGACAGTGAAGCTTTATGACTTCACAGTAGCCATCAGTTTCCTGTTGGTGAGTGTTAGGTTCCTTTAGGGTTTTCCTTAATTACTTGTAACTTTAAACCAAGCTAAAATTAATGTCCTGATTCTGAATTATAAAAGCTTAGGGTATGGAATTGGATCTAGATTTGAGCCTCAGTTCCCAAGTTACAGGCTGATGATTTCTGCAAAATTACCATACTTCTCTGAGCCATTTTTTTCTTTTTTCTTTTTCTTTTTTATCTAGAGCACTTGTCAAATTTTAACAACATCTTAACATGTTAGGTGACTAAAAAAAGAAAATTGGACAAGCTCATAGCAGCTACAAAGCCTCATTTAGGTAGGAAACAGAATAGTTACATAAGAAACTAATTTTTTTTTTGTCTTTTTCCTTTTTATCGGTACCAGGGATCGAACTCATGACTGCCTGCTTGCAAGGCAGGCGCTTATGCCGCTGAGCTAAATCCCCAGCCCCCCTAATTGTTTTTCTTAAGAGCCAGACAATTATTTTCAGAAGTTCGTAAAAGTATCATGTCCATGTTGATTATTGAAGACCAACTCTCTCCACAGAAAAGGAACAATTACAATGCAAGTCCTAAGAATATGTGTGGGTTTAATATTGGAAACATGAGGTTTTGTCCCCCAACAGAACTGTCCATAGGGACAGTTACTATGACAACATGACATGCTGTCACCAGCACCCAGACATGATAAATTCAAATTTTAAAGAGACCCCATCCATGTATACAAATCTGCAAACAGAGATATATAGCATATAGGTTAGGCTTTTCTTTGGAACAAAGTGATTCTTTTGCTAATTATTATTTTAATGGTACAAATTTATAGAATCAGTGACTTTTCTACCTCCAACCTGCTGTGGCTCTCGAGGTGCTGTGAGTGGGTCCCCAGAGCCACTCTGCTGCCTCCACCTGCTCCCCGCTGCCTGCCTCCATCCCCCACGGTGCGCTCCGCCATCTGGGAAGTGGATGGTGGGTATCTGCAGCTCGGTTTTATCATCGGTGAAGTGGGGACAGAACCACCTTCTCCAAAAAGTATTTAAATAAAGCAGAGTGAAGCCAGTGCTGGAAAGAGGTGCTCAGAAAAAATAATTAGATGATAAAAAGGACACATAGGTGACACTCCTTGCTGTTCCTTACCCCTGTAGCCAACCCCAAGCAAAAACCTGTCCAGAAATCCCAACACTCCCTCCCTCCCCTGTGTCAGCGGCCTCTGCAAGGCCCCTGCAAATGCCACTTCCACAATGGAGGTTGTTGGGGCAATGCCAGCAATTTTGACACCACAGAGATGCGCTGGGGATCCCGAGACCTCCAGCACATCCTCTTCTAAGACAGGAAGACTCAGACGGATGATGGGATGACGGCTGGGTGAAGGTGCCTCTTGTTTGTACTGTTTAGTTTAACTTGATTATTTAAAATTAAGATGATTATTCATATGAAACAATAAACTCATTATTTCAAAATTAAAACAACAGACAAAGAGCTCTATTTTTTTCTCCTGGGATGCTGAGACAATTGATTGGGAGGCTCTGGATGGGAACCAGTAACAACAGAATAGAGAGCAGCTGCTTTTTCACCCTTAGGGACCACGCTGTCTGCCCTACTCATTTTACAAATGGGGAAACTGAGGCCCCTAGGGGTTGCTCACCAGTGAAGGTGTCTGAGAGTCAAGTCTGCACTAGCTAGGCTGGGGCTGGTGAATGCTGGCTAGGGGTGGGCTCAATAGCCCCCACCAGCTTCAAGGACAGTGGTCCCACCTCCACAAAGTCCAGACTGGCTCAATTTATACTTCTTTACTTCTTGTGGTTGTCTTTTTGAGATATGACTTTACTATGCAGTTCTGGCTGGCCTTGAACCCAATATGTAATCCAGACTGGCCTTCAACTCACAGTGATCCTCTTGCCTCAACCTCCCAAGCAAGATTCTCCTGCCTCAGCCTCCCAAGAACTGGGATTACAGGCATGCGCCACCATGCCTGGCATTCAGTTTATACTTCTTGCTACAAGAAATGAAAGAGAAGCCAAGCATAAAGTTAAAAAGTGAGTGAAATCTGGGGGTGATGGCACACACCTGTAATCCAGCACTGAAGAGACTGAGGCAGAAGATCACCTCAAGTTCAAGGTCAGTCTAGACTATACAGGGAGACCCTCCCAAACAAGTGAAAGAAGAGTCTTCTGTTGGTGCACACTTATAATCTCAGCAAGAGGGTTAAAAGTTTGAATTCCACCTGTGGATAGCAAGTGGCCGGGGAACTTAGCAAGACTTTGTCTCAAAATAAAGACTAAAAAGGACTGCAGATGTAGCTCAGTGTGAAGGCATTCTCTCTCTCTCTCTCTCTCTCTCTCTCTCTCTCTCTCTGTGTGTGTGTGTGTGTGTGTGTGTGTGGTTTAGTAAATCACTGAGTGTGACAACCACATCTAGATACAAAAGGAGTAAAAATGAGATTCAGCGAAAGAGATCAGCTTATTTGCTGACTTCTCAAGAATAGTGAAGATTTTTCATGTAAACATATTTTCCCACTTATATAATTATATTTCTCCAGTGTCATTTAAGTAACACTAAAATGATTTTTGTGGCTGATGCTGGTTAAACCCAGGGCCTCGCATATGGTCAGTAAGTGCTCCATCACCCTTACATCCACGGTCCTGTTTCATTTTCCACTGAAGACAAGGTGCCAGCTGCCCGCAGTGCAGACCCCTGCAGGTGCTATCTTGGCCAGCACATCTGCAATGCCCAGCACTGGAACACTTTATCCCTGGCGGTTTTCAGGAACACGAAGACCACAGTGGTCTGCCTGAGGCTGAAACCTCCAGTGAGGCCTCTTCCAGTACAGAAAGATGAGAGGTTGGGGGGAGCAAAAGGGGAGGGTTTATGAGGACGCTGCCAGGGATGCAGGTGATGCTGTTAACTGGGAATCGTCAGGAAATAAGGAAGATGTTGCTAAGAGACGGTGGGGATAAGGGTGCAGGAGGTGTGGAGAACAGGCCTGTGGCTGGTGTAGATATGGAGGTAAAGGGAATTAATATACATTATTCTAATGAGGACTTTAAAATAAGTGATGTTGGTTGCCAGGGTGAGACGACAATGTGACCTTTGCAGAGGCTGGTACTGCTGGCAGAGGTGACACATCACTGTGGCAGGGACCACACAGGTGACAGAGATATGAAGGCGCTCAGGATAGCACAGTTTGCAGGGGCTGAGTGGACTATCGGCTTGCTGGCTGTGTGACTAGACCACCAGTCCTGCAGCTAGGAGGACAGCTGGCTGTCTTCTCCATTAGAGACGAAGGCAAAGAGGAGCTGAATACCTGCACAACCCTAGACCTTGACAGAAACCTGGTTCTGTCACCATTTCTGCACTGAGACCCTGTGCTGGAAAGTAGGTTCTAAAATAGCTCAGTCTTCCAAGGTAAGAGGTAGGCTAGCTGAGGGGGAAGGTGAGAGGTGCACTTCCCCCACCTGACACCAGGGGGCAGGCAGAGCTTCGTAAAGAATAGGTGTTAAGGCTGAAGAAGCATCCTGGATCCCCAAGAGAAAGGCCTCCCCACAGCAGTGAGAGGCCAGAGGATCAGATAAACAGTACAATATTAGGAGAGAGTTTTCCTTAGGGGCTGAACCCAACTGATGCATTCACTGAAGCAAGAGAGGTTTAGGATCCCCCTGTGAATGTCTGGGACCCATTAGAAGGACTGTGGCACACCTGAGCACAAGGACCTCCTGGGGCCGCTTTCCAGAAAGCAACACTGTAAGAAATGCTACCTGTTTTTGTTTTGTTTTGTTTTTTAGTGCAATAGACAATACATTGAGAATGCAGCCAGAAGCCAAAATAATTAAAAATACAGGCACAATCAGATAAGCTGCTTTGGTCTTTACTGTTCAAAAATGTCCCAGCACCATAATCAACGCAGAACTCAAAATACTGAATGGTTGAAAAGCTGTTGTGAGTTTCTAGGGGAGGATATCATTACCCTATTTTAGAGGCGGTAACTGGGTCAGAACCTCATTTCCCAGGGTCCTTGACAGACTTAAGCTCCAATCCCAGTGACAGCGGCTTGGTAACTTAGTATTAACTGGCAGCCTCCTATTCTCTTTCTCTTTCTACTCCTCCACCTCAACATGAACTAATAAGCGCCTGGTCTTCTGCTTCGTAAGAGCTCCCAAGTGAGGACCAGGGTTTCAACTCTTGTAGCCTAATTGGGCAAAATGAGTTATCTGCTTCTACAGTCCTCCTCCAACTCAAGGAAAGATAGACCTGGATTTACAACTCCTCAGCTGCTATGGTAACCCTAACCCTAATCCTATTCCTAACCTCACTCTAACACTGACCCTAACCCTAACCCTGATCTTCTAACCCTAACCCTAACCCAAGGACACAGCAGACCTCGAGCTCCAGTACTTCAGGATGTGACCTTAGTTGGAACAGACTTTTCGAGAATAAATTAAAGTGAAGTCATTAGAGTGGGTTCTAAACCAACATGACTGGTGTCCGACCTAAAAGGAAGAAATGTTAGACAGGGTTGTTTTAACATCATGCAAAGACTGGAGTTATGTTGTTATGAGGCAAGAAACTTCCAGAAGTTAAAAAGAGAACCCCGGAACACATTCTTCTCTGGCTCCTGTAGAAGAGGTCTGGCCTTTGATCTCTGACTTCTGACCTTAGAAGCTGTGAAAGAATAAATTCCTAGTGCTTCAACCACTCAGTTTACAGTCCTTTGTTGTGCCTCTCGCAGGAAACAAGTATGCGGGCTATGTGACATCTCCTTACCTCCGCTTCTGCCCCTGTAAAATGAACACAATAGTGTACTCTCACTCACTGAGTCTTAGGAAATGGAGATTAAAGAAAACAAAATGTGTAAATTCTAAGTGGGGAGCCTGGTATGTGATTAGCTCTCAGTACTTGGGTGGTTTTTATTGTAACCGAAATAGCTGTACACAAATACATGCACACACACACACACACACACACACACACACACACACATACACTGCGAGGAGTCCAGCTGAGCCTTGCACTTCCTAGTTTCTCTGTCAGGAGAATCCAGGCAGAATGGCTGGTTCCTACAGTCTCAGCAACTTAGAAAGCTTAGAGGCAGGAGTATCATTCTGAGCCCAGGAACTGCAGATCAGCTTGGACAGCATCTCAAGATCTCCTGTTAAGAATCATTAAATAAAATCACCACAGTAAAAAAAAAAAAAAATGACACAAAGACAGAGTGGAGGAAAACACTCTGCCCTGAAATCTGACTCAGGCCAAGAAGTAAATGTAAGAAAACTTTAATGGTGAAGAGTAACTCAGGTTTTGTGTGGCTTGGAATTTTAGAATAGTCACCAAGAGGTGGAAGCCACCGTGGTGGGCTTGCTTCCTATAACTGTCAGGGCTCAGTCTGAAGGAGGACAAATGAAATTGTCACTGCCCTGGAACCATGGGAAGGAATTGCCACCATGTTTGAAGATGTGCCAGTTAAGGTTTTAAGTTTCAAAGAACAGAATTCATTTTTGTTAGTTTAATCAGGAAATGAATACACAGGCTGAGATTGTTGCTCAGTGGTAGAGCTCTTGCCTAGCACAGGCAAGGTCCTGTGTTCAAGCCCCAGTATCAGAAAAAGAAAGGGAGAAGGAGAAATCAAGAGAGAGGGAATGGAGGAAGGAAGAGAGAAAGAGACAGACAGAGAGAGAGAGAGAGAGAGAGAGAGAGAGAGAGAGGAAGTAAAATGTGCCTAAACATGCCAAAGAGACAGAGATAGGGAACAATGTCCGTCGTGGGAGTTGCAGGAGCCCTTACTACTGCTCAGTATGGTGATGCTCAGAACTAGAAGAAGAAAAGGAACCCATCTGTGCACCCCAGGGAGCTCAGGGAGAGGGTGAAGGCCTAGAGGGGTCAAAGTGAAGGGCGAGGTCTAGAGTTTGGGCTTCGGGGCCGGGCCCTATAGTCAGACAGTGAGGATGAGATGAGCTCACTCATTCATCCCTTACACAAATACTTACTTGCTGTGTCCTGTGTGCTGGGCACAGAGCTGGGTGCTGGGGACAACTCAGTGACCAATACAAAGACACGGGGTTTTGGTTCTTGCGGTGCTTTGAGCTTATCGGGTGAAACAGCTCTGAAACAAGTGAAGCCCGGGAAGATGAAGGAGGCAGAGCCTGCTGGGAAGGAGAGGACAAGCAGGGAGCAGAGGTGGGGGTGAACTGGGCAGAAGGCAGCCACAGCTCAGCCCTGACGGCCTCAGAGTCCAGCACCTCAGCTGTGCAGTCTGTGCCATCTCACTGTCTGTCCCTGCTGATGGCCTTACCCTGGCCCCTGCACACCCTGACAGATCCCAGGCAATCCCAGAAACAAGCAGTCATGGTCCTCCTCACAGCCAAGGGACAGTCAGGATTGAAGTGAATTCACCAGCCCAGGTGGTAAAAGCTTAGGAGGATTGTAGACCCACACTGCAGAGTGGCTGCCTCAGTAGTCCCATCCGAAAAGGGTGGGACAGTTTGAATTATGTGAAGGGCACTTGTGGCAGTGCTTCTGCCGAGCTTCTGCCGAGCTTCTTGAGGAGCACGTGCTCAGTCTGTGGCCTCACAGGACACCTGCCACTTCATCCTCTGAAGTCAGGAGAGCCTCCTTAGTACGGCTCTGTGGATGTGATGTGTGTATAGCCTACAGACAGCACCCGTCTCCCCAGACTTCCCTCTCACACTCGGCTCCCCCGGCTGTACCCAGGCCCCTGCTCTCCACCCACAGACGCTGGTTCCATCCTTCTCCAGGACACAGTTCTGCTTACCTCTGCAGCCACCATCGGCCTGGGGCTGGCACTGAAGAGTGCAGGGCCCTGCCGGGACTCACAATGGGAGGGCTCTAGTGGGGCGGCAGGAACAGGAGAGAGACACCTTCTGCTAGGAGGGGACACTGTGAGTCTGCTTGGTGAGCAGCAGAAACAGCCTGTGTGGCCAGTGACAGAGCAGGGAGCACAGGGGTGGACGTGTGGATCCTCCATCTGATCTCCTGTTTTCCAGGACATTCATGTTATTAGATGTAACTATGATTTAGTGGTAACTTAAAAACATCAGGGTCCTCACTGGGTATTAATGGGTTCATTTGTATGATGTCTAAGACTTGATTTTTTTAAAAAAGAGTAAAACCAAGCAAAATAAAACAGAATAAAACCAATCAAAACAGTAACACAGGACTTCAAAACAATACGAAATCAACAATGGTTGCCATAATGCCTCTGGTTGTCTTTAAAATAGCTGTAGGTGGTTCAGACATAGTAAAAATCAAACCACACAGAACCAAATAGAACCTATAAAACAAAACAAAGGATGCAATAAAGGATTTCAAAACAAGACAATAGTAAATCCACAATGGCTACTGTAATATCTCTTGCTATCTTTGAAACAGCTGCCCATGCCATTGGATATAACACAATCAAACAAAACAGAATAGAACCCAACCCGGCAAAATAATAAAAATGATATAAGACTTCAAAATAAGATAATAGGGAATTAACAATGGCTCCCACGTTCAGAAGGAGATGCCCCATAGATGCCACACTGCATGCTGTGATCCTCTGAACAGATGATCAGACCCCCAGCTCTAGACCTGCAAAGTCAGAGAAACACCAAACACCACAAGCATCAAATTGCATTTCACCTCAATAGCTTGGTCACAGCCTGTGTTTCTCTGCATCAGCCAGTTGCCTGCAGGGGAGAGGGGTGGCTCTTGGTTTCCAGGCCTGCACGCTGGGAGGGGCTGGGGTCTGGCTGTCCTCTCGGGAGGGGTGGCCCACACATGGCGCTGGTTCACAGGGAGAGCTTACTTCTTCAAGACTTGATTTTTAAAGCTGGAGTGTACACACAAACAGCATTCTTCACAGATTCATAATTATTGGAGCTAGGTAATGCCTGTCATGCCTTAAAGAATATTACTTCTTCCTCTATCCCAATACCACATCTGAAGTCTCTGAAATACAAACCTGTATTTTATTGATCCCCTTGACAACAAACATTAGTCAGTCTTTACACATTTGTCAATTACTGCTACCCGGAAGGACCATTTCTAAGATGTCAAGGGCACTGGACCTTGTAGAACAAAACCATTATATCAGTCTTCAGACAACACCTGGCTGCCCTTAGAATTCCGGTGGATGGACCATAGAGCCAATGTGACCCGAGGAAAGCTTTCCAGGGGGTCCCCTCTTCATGTAAACACCAAATCTACCAAACAGCCTCTCACCCGAATGGCGCAGTCCTCTCAGACCCACTGCTCTTTTGCAGTGTACCATAAGCTCCTAAATTTTCTATCTTCCTTGACTACTGGTAAATTATTTTGGCCACCTATGGCACTAGCTCCTTATACATTGAAGCTCACTTAGCAATTTTATGTTTCCTTGTTACCTTAAAGCTTTGCATCAGATCCCTATTTAGCTCTGTATGCAGGCATGCTAATCACTTAGGTGGTGTTTTTATTACAAGATTTACTGTCCCTAAACTTAATGAGTCTATCTCATCTCCTATCAGGACAGAGGAGACTAAGATAAGAATAACCAAAGTAATTTATAGAATTTGCAGGAATACCCAATTGCCAGCTTTCTAATGTCCAGTTCAGACACCCAGAGAAGTTTCTGAAAGTCACGTCCTAAATGTGCACAGGTTCCAGAAAAGACAGGGCCTACAAACAATTCCTCGATGAGGTACACACACACACACACGCAGAGAGAGAGACAGAGGAGGGAGAGAGAGAGAGAGAGAGAGAGAGAGAGAGAGAGAGAGAGAGAGGAAAAATGATCCTAAGCAGTTGCCTTCACATCATGATAGGAACTGACTGCCCTGAAAGCAATGATGTCTCTCCCAGAACCTCCCAGAAACTGCCCTCAGATAGTCATCAACCAGAACATGACTTGACCAGGATCACCACACTGACAGCCATGCAAACCCCTGAACACTTGCTTTTGTTCCCCTTTCTGTAAAAGCCCAATGCTTTTGTGCTCCCCTCAAAGACAGACATCGAACCTCTGTATCTGCATTTCCCAGGGTGGCTGTGATTAAAGCCCCTTCCCTGCCCTTTACCACTGCTCATCTCCTGGATTGAGTTTATGGGATGCGTGGCCACGTCTGGTCTGCTGGGACCCTCAGAATCTGAACTTTTAATATAAAACTCTGGCAACAATACCATAGTGAGATTCAGAGAGGATAGTTGAAGCTAACAATGACCAACGACCAGGAAAAAAGAAAGTCTCAGAGTGGAGTCCAAGGTCTGACCTAGCTGTTTGACAAACATTGAATATTTGATATAATAGGTGTTTTTAGTCATGAAGTGATGGTGAGTTAAGACTTCCTAAACAGGGCTGGGATTTAGCTCAGTGGCATAAGTGCCTACCTGGTAAATGTGAGGTCGTGAGTTCAATCCCTGGTACCAAAAAACAAAACAACAACCACAAAAAAAAAAAAAAAAAAACCCTTCCTAATTTCCCAGGAAAATTCTAGAGAGAGAGATCTGACTCTACCCAAACCCCAGCCCTGCTCCTCGTGACTCTTTTACCAACCACAGAGGAAGGGAGAGTTGGGACTTAGCTGGGGAAGGGGTGCTGGTCACCAAGCTGGACAGAAGGACAAGGACAGCTGCAGAGCAGAACGAGTGCATCTTCTTGACCCAGACGGGAGGTTTCTGTGGTACCTGGGAAGAGAGAAACTTTCCATAAGCAAACTGAGGAGAGAAGGAAGAAATGGAGCTTGGAGTACAACGTGAGTTTCGTGCCCTTTCCACTGCCCGGCCTCTATGATTCTGGCTTCTGAAGCCCAGAGCTCAGCAATAATTCTTCTCCAACAGTAATATTATGAGTGGCCTGAGAACTCCTTCAAAAACAGATTCTGAGTTGGTACATCTGGAGTGAATCTGAGCTGTTGCCTTTCAAACAAGCACCTCCCAGCCCCACTGTTCTATCCTATAAAATCATTCACAGAGGAAGCAACAGAAGGATTACAACTTTGAGGGTATCCAGGGAAACTTAGTAAGATTCTGCCTCAAAATAAAATACAAAAAAGACTCGGCAAGATTCAAAGTCAACATTTAAAAATCAATAGCTTTTTCTATGCACCAACAATGAATGAGCTGGGAAAGAAATCAGGGAACCTATTACATTCACAATAGCTTCAAAAAGCTAAAATAAAATACCTAAGTGTCAATCTAACCTAGGAGATAAACGACCTTTACTATAAAATGTACAGAACAGGGAAGAAAGAAATTGAAGAACACACTGCATGATGAAAATGTTTCCCAAGTCTGTGGGTTGGGAGAATTAATCTTGTTAAAATGGCCACATTACCAAAGGTGATACACTGATTCCACACAATGACTACCAATATTTCAACGACATTCTTCAATGAACTAAAAGAAAGTCCTAAAATTCATGTGGAAACACAAAAGACCAAGAATAGCCAAAGTAGTCCTAAGCAAAAAAGTCAAAGCTAAAGGCATCAAAATAACCTTAAATTATACTGCAAAGCCATCATAACATAACAGCATGGTGCTGGAAAAAATAGACACACAGACCAGTATAATGGAATAGACGGCACAGAAATAAACCCATGTAACAACGATCTGATTCTTGACAAAGGAGAGAAACACATATGGTAGAGAAAAGACAATCTTTCTTCACTGTTCCGTGAATTTTATAGTAGAGGTCATTTATTGATGGAGAATTGATATAGAGAGCATATAAAGAATTTAACACCAAAAAAATCAAATAGTCCAATCAATAAATAGGCAATTGAATTTAACTGACTCATCTGAAAAGATGTACCAATAGCTAATAAATACATGAAAAAATATTCAACATCTTTACCCTTTACAGATATATCCATTTATCCAGTCAGATGTCTGTCATTAGAAATTATAACAACAGGGCCCAGGATGTAGCTCAGTGGCACAAGGACCTTCCTGGCAAGTTCAGGTCCTGAATTTGACCCTTGGTACCAAAAAAACCAACAATGTTACATGGTGGGAGCAGGGTGATGAGGAGGCAACTTGTACACTGCTGGTAGACATGTAAATTAGTACTGCCATTATGGAAATCAGTGTGAAGATACAAAAAACAAAACCAAAACATAAAGCACAAAAATAGAACACATGATCGATTGATATGATTCCATGGAATATTCCTAAAGGAGTTGCAGTCAGCACACTATCAGAAACCTGCATACCCATGTTTATTGTAGTAACATTCACAATAACAAAGGTATGGAGCTAGCCTAGGCACCCATCAGCAAATGAATGGATAAAGAAATTGTAGTATGTATGTATGTGTGTGTGTGTGTGTGTGTGTGTGTGTGTATATATAAAGAGAGAGAGAGAGAGAGAGTGGAGCATTATTCAGTCACAAAGAATGAAACTATGTCATTTGCAGGAAAATGGATGGAAATGAAGATCATCAGCTTAAGTAAAATAAAGCAAATCATAAAGATAAGTATCACGTGTTTTTTCTAATAGGTGGGATCTTAAAAGACGCCATGCAGTGAGGAGAGACCATTGTTAGAGAAGACAAGGAAGGGCAGTATAAAGGAGGACCCTAGGGGAGGCAAGCAAAAAGTTATTAATTATATCATTTAGTGACCAAAGTGACTGGATGGCTGAGCATGGTGGTGCAGGCCGGCAATCCCAGCACTCAGGAGGCAGGAGCAGGAGGAATGCTGTGAGTTCGAGACCAGCCTGAGCTACACAGCAAGACCCTGTCTCAAAAAAGGGAAAGAGAGAGAGAGATTAAAATGTTGCTGTGTATTTATTGAGATGAAAATATATTTCCTACATTTCCTAAATGAAACAGCAAGTTATAATGTTGCATAATTGGCATTTCCCATTTTTAGTTTTCAAAAATATATTAATGCATAGAAATATCAAGAAATCATGAAGAATGGCATTCATTTAACTGTTTTCATCTGTGGGTGCAAGATGCTAAGCACATTTTTATTTTTTCTTAAAAATATTTTTTGGCTTGTGCTATAAAATGCTTCCAAAGGGATAAATTAAGAATTGCTTTAAGTATGGGAGGTAATGGATATGTTAATTCAAAGGATTGTAGTGATTTTATACATAGGTCAGAACATGATGTTGGATTCCTTAAATGTATATGATTTTATCTGTCAATTACATTCAATAAAATTAAGGGCTGGAGATATAGCTCAGTGGTAGAGAGGCTCTATGTTCAATACTCACTACCAAAAAAATAAACAGAAAAAGAATAAAAAGACCGCAGAGTCATACTTTGAGTAGGACAACGGGAGGAACCACATGTGAGTGGACAGAGAGGAGTCGGAATGGGCAGAGAGGGAGCGCCTTCTCCACGCCATGGGGGACTGCTGAGCCCTGGAGGATCCCGGGGAAACTGGCAGGGGAGCTTAGATCAGGAGGAAGTGAATCTGAGAGAACCCCAAAATGTCTCTTTCCCACTGAAATGTCCCATCATCACTACCACAGCCTGCTCCCCAAAGGAAAGCTTGGATTTGATCATAGCCTAATAGATTCCCCTTCACATCACACACCAGATGTAGGAATGGAAGGAAGCCAGAGGTGTAGACATAACCCCAAGTTCACATGTGCCTGTCTTCCGCACTCACAGCTGCACCCCAAGATCTGAGACACGCCCTCCTGTCCCTGTCTGGTCCTTCCATACTGTCAGGGAGTCAACCACAAATGGAAAGGGTGGTTCTCTTGCCACAGGAAACTATAGCCCCTGAGTAAAAGCATAACACTGCTTCGGAGAGTCTGTCTGTCTGTCATTTTAGGCTGGCCTTGTTGCACTAGTGTGAGGCCACACTGGACCTCCTGCAGCTCCCTATGTCACTTTCTCCTGGGCTGAGGAGCAGCTCTGTGCACGCAGCAGTTGCTCCACCTCTGGGAGCACCCTTCTACCCGAGGTCTCTTCCCTCCACACTCCTGCCTCCTCATTCTGCTCAGCTTAAAGGACACTTGTTTCAGAGGTGTTTTGAGCACCAATCTAAATTGTGAACCTACTATTCCTCTCTGAGTATCCTTTCTCATCTTGGCAACACTATAATTTGCATTCATATGGTGAGATCAAGCCTCCCAAGAAAGCTGCGGTAACCATAGAGTATTTGCTGGAGATGTGGGCCAGTGCTGTAGGGCATTTGCCTAGCTTGTGCAAGACCCTAGGTTCCATTACCAGTACAAGAAAAAAGAAAGAAAAGGAAAGGAAAAAAATCACACACCATCTTTAAATCTGCAATGTATTGATTGTAATACAGTCAATAAGGCAAACCCAGATTCAAAGGGAGGATGCTGATGCCAATTCTCAATGGAATGAGCATCAATAACTTATCAAAGCTGTTTGTTTGTTTTGAGATAGCATCTTGCTAAGTTGCTCATGTTGGGCTCATACTTGGAATCCTCCTGCCTCATTATTTCAACATTAAATAAATAAACCAACAGACAAAGTGCTACTTTTCTCTCTTAGGATATTGAGATAACTAGCTGAGAGACTCAGATGGGAGCCAGTTCTCTCTATGTGTCACTAGACATGGAGCAGTCCAGACAGTGTCACAAACTTCTTCAGTGACATTCTATTAAAGGGTAACAAATTAGGTGACTAAAAAGTCTATTTTGACTAAAAAGTCTATTCCATACCCTCCCTTCCCTGTCTTGTCCTTCCATAAGGACAAGGATCATTAAGATGGACATTTAAATGTGTTACAAAAACAATGTGATCATGGTTGTTATGCTAAAATACTTTGTGTGGCTTTTGATCTCCAATTCCTTGTAAAACTATATAACTGTTGTCTGTTAACATTCTACAGGGATCCAACTCCTAAAATAATCACGGTTGGTAAGGAGTAACCATCTTTGGTTATACTTTATACTTCAAGGTACTTTATGTTCAGATAAAATTATAATAATTAAACTCCCTGCTCCCACTGCAATACCCAAGTCACTGAGCTTCTCTTCTGGGTGTTCAACTACTAAAGTTTAGACACTGAGACTGAAAAGATGCCTGTTATAAGATGACAGGCAATATTTTGGCCCTGGGCCTTTAAGGTCAACAAGGATCCCAAACTTGAGAGAATCTTTTCTGCAAGATCCTACAGCTTTGGTGAGTCATCCAACCTCCTAAACAAAGAGATTGCTAGAACTCAGAGGATGGGATTCAACAAGTGCATAGTGTGCCGTAGCACGGTCACCGAGAGGGAAAGGTCTTCCAAGCTTTCACAGAAAGCAATACGGTTAAGCAAGACCATGACCCATCTTGACAGCTGACACTGACAGAGGAGCTGACAGGCTCTGTACATGGTTCCAAAGTGTTGTATGAAGAGACTTAACTACCCTTGGTACACAACAAGAGGTTAATTTTAGTTAACACAGGTCTCACCTTAACTTGGTTTTAAACACCCAACAGAAAAGTTAACCAAAAGATATATGTAAACAATGCCATAATAATAAGCAGGATATAAAAAGGCTCCAATCGCTGGTCTCTTCCAGCAGTTTTCAGCTAAACCAGTAACTGACCACTGCTATGGATCATTAAGAAAAAAACTACAGTAAAATCTATAAAAGTTCAACAAGAATCTTTAAATTCTTTAGCTAAAGTTGTCCTCCTAACCCACCAAACTCCATCTTTTTACAGCTAAACCTAGAGAAACTTGTAAAAAAAATATCAAATTCCATCAGCAGAGGGCTCTAAGAGCCAGTGGGTTACCATCGCTATTCTGGTCCCATAAAAACAGCTTCTAGACTTGGCTCTTTCCCCAATCTGCCTTTCCATTTTGGTGCCTTGATTATACATGCTCTAATTTCTCAAAAAAAATTGCTTATTCTTGCCTAGAGGCCACCAAATTCCAAGTGATCGTGCAGCTAGAACTAACAATAAATGTGCTAGTTTCCTTCTATGGAGAAGCCTCATAAAGAGATTCATAGCTGCTAAGCCACAGTGTGACCTCGACCTGAGAGCCATTAGATTAGCTCTCTAGAGAAGACCCCCTGACTGCAGTCTCCCTTATATACATCGACCTTTCTAATCTTGAAGCAGCTAGATAGAAGCTACATCCCTTCTCCGCTAACCGAGTTAGAGATGGTCCTTTAGAGAAGGCAATATTGTAAACAGCCAAGTTAGTTATAAATAATACAGGCAGTGAGGCAGAGCTGGGCCTTTAGCATAGAAAGCAATTGCAGCCAGAGACAGATTCACTAAAGGCCAGGCTTTACATAAAAGAAAAACGACTACACCTGCATACTCACCTTTCTTTAAAAACACAATTACAAAAACCAAGAGGAGGAGTACAGCTGCCTCCACAACCCCAATTACATCTTGCTATTTTCGCTTTAAAATTTTGAGTCTGTGTGCAGAGAACAAATGTATTCCGCTGGGATTTCATCGGCAAGAGGACTCCTCTACAAGCAATCAGTGTTTTAGAAACCAGCATGTTGAGAGTGGGAGATGAAATAGAAAACACAGGAAGGGCTCAAATGTCATCAGATTTTATATCACTCTCCTGCCCTATAATTGGTCTGTTCATGCCTGGGAACATATTTAAAAATGCATTCAGGGGGCCATGCATCAAAATATAACTCTAGACCTAGATGCTTTATAAAAGGAAGTATTATCTATGTCCCAACACAGAGTTTCAATTAAAAAAAATCCAAGACTGGAACAAATTTTCTACTGCTTTTGACCAACTCAATCTATGGAAGTATCTTATGGCCCATTTTTGATTTTATATAAATGTGTCTATCATAATTTGTTTGCAAGCCAGGGGTGGTGATACACACCTGTAATCCCAACACTCAGGAGGCTCAGGTAAGAGGATTGCTGTGAGTTCCAGGCCAGCCTAGGCTACAAAGTGAGTTCAAGGCCACCCTGAACTGCACAGTGAAACCCTGTCTAAAAAAGACAAAATAATAGTAATAGTAATGATTTGTTGATGTCTTTTGATTTTACTTTTTGTCTATCACAGAAAAACTTAACTGACGTCTAATAGCCACAGCTCACCCTGATCCAGCTTCTGCAATTACAAAAACAAAAAAGGTGAACCATTCAGGGACCAGCATCTGTAATAAAGGAGGCACCGGGGCCCAAGTTTGGAACATATTTTTCCGCTGTGGCCCAAGAGGTATGCGGAAGCTCCCACTTGCCCCTGGTCATGCCAGGAAGACCCTCAGAAGCCTGATGCTCACAGAGCAAGATAAAGACCTGCTGAGGATGACAAGAATCTTCAGATAATGCAATAGTGGTAATAAAAGTTTTGCTTGGGGAAAAAAACAGTTTCCATATTGACCTTTATCTCATACTTGCAAGAATGCTTTGTTCAGGCCAGGGATATAGCTCAGTGGCACAGTACCTACCTGGGCACCATGATGTCCTGAGTTTGATTCCAGGTACCAAAAAAAAAGAATGTTTTGTTGTTTTTACTAGCCCACAGTTGTCGTTACCCTGTTCCAGGAAAAATACACTGTGCCCTCTGAAAATGTATGTATGTGCTCAACAAACAATGGCAAACTTGGGGAGTCCTTGTCTTTGCCCATCCTGAGGCACTGACTTCCCAGCCATCCCCCCCATCTCTGCCTTTTATGCATTACTAAAATTGTGTCTATCTCTTATTTCATCATTCACTGTACCCCTCATACAGGCAGCGGGAATCTTGGCCAGGTCTACGGGAGGACCAAGGAGATGCCCAGCTCAGAGTCTCCTAGATTCATGTCTGGAGTAGATGATGCTTAGATTGATACTCCAACAAAGGCAGGAATAGTGATTTAGGGAACAGGCTCAATGGCTTCCATGAGTCCCTCCAACATGAGTGGTTCTACCTCTAGAGTCCGTTTCCTTTTATCTTATACCTATTTCTCCAAAAAAGAAAAGCAAAATACTTCTCTCAGGCCAAAGGACCAGGAACTCTCTTTCAGCTGCAGGAATAAGTCCCAGCCTCTATCCTTGACCTAGAATGCTAAGACTCTGATCTCCTAGTGCCCGGAAGCTGCCTTGCCCTCTGCTTGGTGGGCATGACAGGCTTTAGAAAGGCTCAGGTGAGCAGAGGGGTTAAGGAATAGGAGCCTTGGGTGCCATATCCTAGGGGAGGGGGATTGGCTCCCACGGGTCATCGGATCACTGTCATATTAGGAGGAACACAAGACCCAGATCAGGGGAAGGGGCTTGCTATGGTCTCCATCCATTCTGGTGGAAGAGTAGGGCCACACTTTCACCTGTTGCCTTCACCAAATTTTAATGTTTCTTGGTAAACATAATAGTGTATTTTGTTTTTTAAAAAACAAGCAATACATAAATATTTTAAGGTAAAAAGGACACATAGTTTGGAAAATACCAGTAATCCCAGTACCTTGGAGGCTGAGGCATGAGGATGTTTTAGAGGGAAAGGTTTATTTAGCTCAAAGTTTGTAGAGGTTTCAGTCCATAGTTGGCTGGCTTCACGGCAGAGTGGCACATGGCAGAGGAGTGAACACTGCAGAAGAGAACAGTTCATAGCACCCACAAGGTAGTGAAAGCAATAAGAGAAATCTTAACAGCATCTTTTAGCCCCTTCTATACTCTACCTAGGCTTCCAGGATTAAGGTGTTGCCAAATCACCCTTTCAGTGGACTGATTTAGTAACCATACACTTAAGGCCAGCGTTGCACCATGAATCAATCACACACTCCCAATCCAACCACTTCTGACAAAGCCCACCTATGACCACATGAAGAGGACAAAAGAGAAGGAAGCCTGGCTATAGCCCCAGCTGGTGGTAGGCTTCCTGGATTAGGGTAGTGCCATCCATGTGGTGCTAGGTTTTTGGCATGGGAAGAATGCAAGACATCTAAGTACAAGCCATAACATTCTCCTCCTGGTTGCCCAAAGCCATATGAACATCTTTTTATGCAAAAGAAGCATTTAGCCCATCTTCAAGAATTGCCAAAATTGTATTCGTTTTGGCATTGCTAAAAAGTGCAAGTTCAAAGTCTACTCTCAGATTTAAGGCAAACTCTGAGATTTGAGCCCAACTCTCAGCCTCAAACCATGATACAAATGAAAAGAAAGTTAAATACTTTCAACATTCAATAGCACAAGATAGAGATTTCCATTCCAAAAGTTACAAATAGTAAATACATTGGAATGAGAACAAAGCAAGTCCACGATCTAGCAGGGCAAACATTAAGTTCTACAGTTCCAAGTCCAGCATGTCTGGTAATCTGTAAGAAGATGTGAAATTCAAAGGACTTGGGTGGCTCCACTCCTGTGGTATTTCCTGTGGTAGTAGCTCCCATGGCTTCTTTCTTGGGCTAGCTAGGCTCCCTCCTTGTAGTTTTCCTCAGGTGATTCATGTTCCTGGCCTCTCCAAACTTGTGTGGTCTCTGCTGTACTTTCAGCTTCACATGCACAGCTTCACACACTGCCCTCTCAGACACTGCTTGGCCTCCCAGACCTTCTTCTGAAGTCTAGGTGGAAGCCTTTCTGACCCTACAACTCTCACATTCTTCACACACAAAAATCCAGCACCACATGGATGGCACTACCCTAATCCAGGAAGCCTACCACCAGCTGGGGCTATAGCCAGGCTGCCTTCTCTCTTGTCTGTAGGGGTCAAGTGCCCATGGACCAAATCTTTAGGAACAACTTCCCTAGGCTGCTGCTATCCTGGAACATGGTGCTCTGGGGTTTGTTCTCAAAGCAAAGTCTTTCACTTTTGCAATTTTGAGGCTGAAAAGGGTGGAGTCTTGCCTCTTGTGATATTCTCAGGCCATCTTTTCTGTTGTTTTCTCCTGAAAAGTTTGACCTTTACTTGCTAGTCTTTTCTGTAACCAATTTCTCCCCTTTTCCATCTTTTCAGGCCACAGCTTTACTGGCACTTCCTATCTGGCCAAACTGATAATGTTTTAAATCATTGTGCTGGGCTCTTTGCTCTTGATTATCAACATAAATTTGGCTAAAAAGCCCCCAACAGTAACCATGCCACCGCCTCAACATTAGACTGCCTTGAAATTTCTTCTGCAAGATTAATTAGTCCATTGTCCTTAATCTTAGTCTCAAACTCTCTGGACATAAGCAAAAGGCAGACAAACTTTCTGCTCAGGTATAACACACATTATCTGGAGTCCAAAAACCAGTACAGTCCTTCCAAGCAGAAATCTCCTGAGGCTGCTGTTTACCAGCAGGATTTCTATCAACCTGCTCTGCTGAGCTGTGACCATTCAACACTGCCCTAGGTGTTCCAGTTCTGTTTTTTCAGCCAGTATCTCTAAGCCTTTCAAAACTCTTCCTACAAGCCAGTGCCAAAGGTTCCTGAAATACATGGTACCAAATTCTGTCTTAGCTACTTTTTTTCTCATTGCTCAGACAAAATACCCAACACCCAAAATTAAAGGAGAAAAGGTTTATTTAGCTCCAGTTTGGAGAGACTTCAGTCCATAGTTGGCTGGCTCCAAGGCAGAGGGGCATATGGCAAAGGGGCATTGCAGAGAACAGCTCATAGTGCCCAAAAGTAATGAGGGAGGGGGTATGAGGATTTTAATACCAGATGGGAAGATTGTAAGGTTGAGGCTAGCCTGGGCTGCATAGCAAGACCTTATCTCAAAAAAATTAATTAATTTTTATTTTAATTAGTTAATTAAAATGAGGTCAAATTCTCAAACCTGGCTGTATTAGTTTTTAGGGACCTAATTGGTCTGGAGGAAGCCTGGGGACTACATATGATTCTAAAATGCCACCAAGGGTATTCATTCCTGGAAGAAATTAGTAAAGAAAGACTTCTAGTTCCCTTTCTGGAGAGACCTCTTCCCTCTTCTAGGATTTAGGTTCTCCCATTATATCCAGAGTGGCCATGTCCTGTTCCCTGAAGATTCATTCATAGAGAATAAGGAGGGCTTATTTGTCTGAGAGAGACTAACCTTGTCGAGGAAGATGCACATAGCAAAATGATGTTTGTTAAATTCCACAAGGGCTCGCACTAGGCTCCTACACATCCAAGGCTCATAGTTAAAGGGTGCATACATGTGCATGCATATGTATTAATTCACTTGGTCTGACAGCCACATATAGACATAAAAAGTTAAAACTAAGACTCAGAAAATGTGATGTTTCTTTATTCACTGATGATTAATTAATATTAAAGAATTTTCATATAAATATATTTTATTTGTAAAAGTGCTACATTCAAATAATTCTATAATCCTCCTCTCTTCTCTTTTCCCTTTTTCTTTTCTTTTTTCCACATTAAGAATTGAACCCAGGTTTTCACACAAGCTAAGTAAGGACTCTATCACAAAGCTATAACCATATCCCTTTATTGTTGCTGCTGTTATTATTTTGGGACAGTGTCTTGTCTTGCTAAGTTGTCCAGCCTGGCCTTGGACTTGAAAATATTTTTTTACAAAATAAAAGTCAACTGAAATTCTATCACCTTCTAAACATATTGAGAACAATCTTCAAGTAATCATTTTAAGGGTTTACACATATATTTTACATGAATAGAATTACAGCATACCTCCACTTGGAATGTGATTAACTTGTTCAGCTATGTTTGTGAGCATCTCTCCATGATAATGCATATAGATTGACACTGTACTTTTTAATGATTTCACAGCAGTTCATCAATCTCCTGTTTGATCAATATTTAGGCTTTTTTCCATAAATATATTGCAATTGTAGACAAAAGTCCTGATGCTACAACAAAAGTCCTGATGCTAGGTTATAAGAGGCAGTAGGATGCAGAGCCTACAGAATTGGATTTCATTTTTTTTATGTAGTAAATTTTGTTTTACTTATATAGTCTTGGCTGGCCTTCAACTCATGGCAATCCTCCTGCCTCAGCCTCTCAAGAGCTGGGGTTACAGGTGTGCACCACCATGCCTGATTGAATCTAAATTTAAACTCCACTCCCCAACCTCCAGGTTTTATGATTTTCAGGAAATTACTACATTTTTCTGAACTTCAGTTTCTTTGTTTATGAAGTAAGAACATAAATAACACTATCTCCATTGGGTATTTCAAACAGTGTAAAGTATGACAAACATTGAGGTCAATTCTTGGAAGAAAATTCTTATGAGTTAAGAAAAAGAACACACAAATGACACCTGCTATTTTTCCTTACCCCACAGCCAATCTGAAGCAAGAACCTACCCTAATATCCCAACTCTCCCTGCCCAGTGAGGATAGCTGCAAACCCTCCCTCAAAACCTTACAATGTGCAACAAATTTGAATATCTTATCTATAGCGATTGTCAGAGCAATGCCAGTAATTTGGAGATCATAGAAATATGTTTGAGGGATTGCTACCTCCAGTGAATCCTCTCATAGGACAGGAAATCTCTTGAAAAATATGTTTAATTTGTGTCACTTCGCAAATCTGGGTGTCATCCTTGCACAGGAGCATGTTAATCTCTGTATCATTGCAATGCTAATGTATGTGCTGCCAAAGCCGATGCAGGACAAGATTAAAGGTGGTGATATGATGACAGATAGGGGAAGGGTTGGTGTCGCTGAGGGTGGTGGTAATGATGCAAATATGACACTAATACTAGAATCTGTGGTGATAGTCACAGTGGGATGAGGGACATGCTACCAAGGGATGATGGGGATGGTGGTAACAAGGGTGCAGGAGGTGTGGATGGTAAGGCTGTGGTTGGTGGTGGTGTGGAGGTAAAGAAGAAAGTAATACTAGGGGCTGGGGATTTAGCTCAGTGGCATAAGCGCCTGCCTTGCAAGCAGGTAGTCGTGAGTTCAATCCCTGGTACCGATAAAAAGGAAAAAGACAAAAAAATTAAAAAAAGAAAGTAATACAAGTTTTTCTAATATGTGATGTTTCTAATACGTGACGTTGACACTAAAGGTGAAGGTGGCAATGTGTCCTTCACAGAGGATGGTCGCGATCTTCATCAGAGATCACAAGCCACTGTGGCAGGGATCACAGGCAAGTGACACAGATGAGGAGGCCCATAGGATGGCAAGGGCTGAAGAAGTTAGCTGAATAACCTAGATTGCCAGCTCGGGCTTCAGGTCATATATTCTGCAACCAAGAATGGAGCTGACTGTCCTCTCCATTAGTGACCAAAGTAAAGAGAAGGTGAAGATCATTCTTACATAGTCCTGCGGCTTGACAGAAACCTGGCTCTGTCACCATTCCAGCAGTGAGACACTGTTCCAAACCCATCCTCCAATCTTCAGGACTGGCCCAGTAAAGCACTCCAAGCTAGTGTGCTAGAAGCTTCCCACCTCAGCCCTGGGTCTGTTCTGGAAAACTATTCCATCCGCTATGGCCCTCAGGGACCAAACATGAGCAATGAAACCTGCCTGGTACTCATCCCTATTCCTTGGCCCTCATGTCCTTTGCTCTCAGAATGAAGGTGAGGATGAAGGACACAAGTTCCCCTTCCTCATGGAAGCATGGCTGAATTGCAATCTAGGAAACTTGTGTGTCTGCACCAGAGCCTGGCCTGCTGCTCCCTGCCACCGAGGACTCCACTCAGAGCTGGGAGACTCCAACAGCCCAGCAGGAAACATGACCTACAGGAGTATGCAGGGGGAGGGGCACAAGTTCAGAGAATCTTGATCAGCCAGGGTGGGATTCTTCCCCACCCAGACTGAGCATGATGTCCTTGAGGCTCATCCATGTGTCAGTTTCCTTCCTATTTGAGGCTGAACAATGTGCTATTGTTATACAATTTTTGACAACCAGCTGCTGTCTGTCCTGATTACTGTGCCTGCATGCCCTTGGCCCTCCATTTGGTCCAACCGTTTCCCCTTATTGAAATGAAACTTCTGTCCAAGATCAATAAACTACAGAAGCTACAGGTACAGACTCCAGATGTGTCATTTCTAGGATATCCCTGTCCTTAGGGATATCCTTCCATTTGCCCTTCCTTCCATTTACCCTCCACATGCCCCAATATGTCCTCGTTTGCCAGAAGCTCCATGTGGAACCAGGAAGAACATGCTGAGTTACTCATATTGCCTAAGCTTGAAGTGAAAATCCAAATTGAAAGCAACCAGACCTTGGGTTTTATCCAGGGTTTGAACTCCTAAAGTGGATGTGAACACATATATTTTTAAAGCAAGGGTTTAATTAGTAGCTCAAATCAATCTAAAGACATGGATCAAGAATTAAACACTTGCTAATGTGCCAAGCCACAAGCCGACATTCTTTCTCACCCAAAACAGATGGGCCCTTGCCCTGGGTTCACTGGACCACAGCATTTATTCAAGTGTGTTTGAGGCATCTTGACAGTAGATGATTCTGTCACCTCATTGGCTTCCCATTGTCCACTCTTACCTGTTGTATCTACTCTTCCCAGTGGCCAGAGTGACCATTTACAACTTAAATCAGTAAATGCCCAAGTGCCAAAAACCAAAATCAAACAAAAACCAGGAAGACAAGTCATAGGATGGATAAATGACAACGAATTATTCAGTGACTTACACTAATGCAGTTACAGACGTGATCCCTGTAGGAGTGGGGATGGTCGGAAAAGGCTTCACAGGAGAAGTGGCTCTGGGACAGAAGCAGGGAGGCGGTAGAGGAAATGGCACAGGCCTAAGCAGGGAAGCTGGAAAATGTGATGTGATGAGACGAGACCCACCCTTCCTTCCTCTTCCAGTGTTCTTTGCACAAGGCTCTGCCTCTTAACCTAGTCTCTTAGCTGGCCCAGTCCCACTGCAGGTGGAGAGGGCTGAGGCTATGTCCCTCCCTAGACCCTGGTTACTGTGTATGGAAGGGACCCTGCTGCTCTCCATGACTTCCATGAGCACCTGGCAGGGGGCCCTAAACCTCTCAGGGGCAGCTGTTGCCAGACTTGCCTGACCCAAAGACAGGATGGGTCCTCCAGCTCGGCACATCCTTCTCCAACACTCTTAGCCTGGCCACTGCTTTCCTTTCTGTTAAGAACTGGGCCATGCTTTGCATTCTTCCATCCTCAGGGGCATCCCTAGGGGTAGACTTCTGCATCTACTGATAATCCACAGGTACCCACTGCAGTGTCCTGTACATGTCCTGGGCATATAGTGACTGAGTATTGATGGTCTGTCCAGCAAAGAGAATAGCAGTTGGTTATGAGGAACTATCCCAGTTATTGAGGCAAGACAAGCCCTAACCTAATTCTATGGCCTAATTCTAGAAGTCCCCATCTATGCACTCCCCATTCTTTGCTCTGGGACCCCTCAGAGGATAGAAACTTCTTCCTCCTAATTTCCTCAGTCTTGCCATTGTTTAGAGGCCACCTCGTAATGTCCCAAGACACAGACTTTGCCTTCAGTGTCTCTGACCCGCTTTCCCAGATGCTACTGCCTTCTGCTCTCTTGGAGGGCCATGGCCAGGCTTAACACGCAGAAGCCTAAACAAACGTAAATACCCTAGCCCTGGATTCAGGGGTAAAAGATTATTCTATTGCTGGCACAGAAAGAATTTTAGGGCTCAGAGACAGTTGGGTGGCCTAACACTTAGCAGCAGACTTCGTGTTTGACTATCACGCACTTTTCTAGCTTTTGCAGCTACAAAAGACAAAAATCCTTGTCCTTTATGGAGCTTCAATTTTTGTCAAGAGGAATAAAGAATTGAGAAGAAAACTAATTAAGAAGACACACTGTATGTTAGATGGTGGCAAGGATAATAAAACAATGCGGAAAGGCACAAGCAATTTGAAATGGTGTGTGTTCAGGGAAGACCTTATTAAGGACTCTACAGTGGAAAGGGGTTAGATTCTGGATTTGTTTTGCAGGTAGCATACAAAACAGGGTATGGGACTGGCTGACTGGGCACATACAGAGTATGAGAAAAAAGGATCAAGGATGACTTCTTTTTTTTTTAATCTGGGCAGGTGGATTTAAGTTATGTTATGGTTTAGATCTGGAATGCCCCCATATGCTGGGGTCTTGGTTGCCAGCGGATGGGCATTTGGGGAAGTGATTGGATCTTTCAGGGTCTAATTTTATCAATGATTGGTTCACTGATGAGCTCTTAGCTCACTGGACTTACTAGGAGGTAGGTCTAATCAGATGAAGCAGAATAGAGGCATGGCTTGTATTTTATCCCTGGCCCTTTTTGGGCTCTCTTCCTATTCTCTCTGTTCTTTGGCCCCAATAAGGTAAGCAGCTTTCCTTCACCCCGCCCTTCTGCAATGTTACTGCCTCACCATGGGCCTATGCAACCGTCAAATGACCGTGGACTAAAACCTCAGAAAACCTGAGCCAAACTGAACTTCTCTCCTTTAAGTTGCTTATCTCAGCTGTTTATTGCAGTGATACAAAGGTGGGTAAAATAAGTCACCCCTGGTACACAGGACATACTACAGAAGGGCACGTTTGGGGTGGAGATACAGAATATCAAGTATTTCAGTTTGGGAGGCATTAAACTTGAGATACTCTTAGAAATCTAAATGGTGATGGAAAGTAGACAACTGGATATATGAATCCAGAAGTCTGGGAGAAGACTGAATGCAGAATTTGGGCAGGAGTCTGAACAAGGAATAGACTTAAGTCAAACCACCTTGATTAAACTGCTTTTGTCTATAAGAGTAGCCTACTGTCCTTCCTACACACACACACACACACACACACACACACACATACACACAAATTGTTCTGAGAGCTGATGGAAAACCCTTCAAGGCAACTCAGAAAGCCCATCTCTGCAAACCGCACAAATACTAGACCACGGCTTCGTTATATTGCTGCCCTGACTGTGGAGCTTCTGGACCTCCTGTCCCACCCTTCCCTATTCCACATCCCAAGCCAGAAGAGCACACTGCCAGCAATGTCTGAGCACTTACATGTTCCAAGATGGATCAGATTCTTAAAAAGGCAGTTCCTATGCCACACGGTCTCATGGAACTGCAACGGCAACTACCAGGAGAGAAGGAATAAGCAAAGGCAGGTGCAGGAGACTGTGGGCGCAGAAAGGGGCATCTACAGCAGCCTGGCATGTCAGGAAAGGCTTCCTGGGGGAAGGGATGCCTCATTTGACTTTGTAAGGGTGAACCAGGCAGCTGTGGGGTGTGTGCTTCACGGAACAGGGCATTCTAGGCCAAACACCATGCTGGGAGATCTGCGTGGAGTAGGCGTGGAGGGGAACCATGAGTTAACTTACACAGCTGATGCCAATTCTGCAAGAGGAAGACAAGATGAAAGCAGAGGAGGCTTCTGCCTAAGGTCATGTTTTACAAGAATCCAGGGTTATATAAGGGGAGGTGGGTGGGACAGGCTTCAATCCAATGGGCCTGAGTTCAAAGCCTCTGGGTGGCCTAAGGACCACCCACAACACAAGCTCCTGAGGATTCTGCTAAATATTTAAATCCTGGGTGCAGATAGCTGCAGTATTTTCACAAGCACCCCCAGTGATTCTGATGCACATTACAGTTACAGAACCACTTCTGCTCTCCCTTCTTCCCCTGGCGATGGGGACTGGCTCTCAGGAAACCCAAAAGGCAGGATGATTCGTTT